AAAATACAAAATGTTAGAAATTAGAAAGGTAAAACAAGGAAGGGAGGGCAAAGAAAAACAAGGGACAAAAAAGGCCAAAGGGAAAACACTAGCTTCTCTCATTCCTGCTTTCCTGATCTCCAGCTATTCCCTTTTCCACAGATGGCCTTCTTCCACCTTGCATTTTAGCACTGTTGTCTCCCTCTGACCATTTTTTCCCCTCCCCTGTTCTACCTTTTGTCTTGCTTATCTCTACCTATTTACATTTACACTGACATCCTACCACACTTTTAGCTTCTCTCATTCCTTGGAGTTTCAGAACAGCAGAGCCTCCCTATGCCTGAAGAAGGGGGATTGCACCCAAAAGCTGGCTAAAAACTTTTTTGCAACTACTTAGTTGGTCTAATAAAAGATATCATATCTAACCAAAGAACCTTGCCTGCCAGGTTTCTACATATTCATTCACAGTAGCAGATTCCTCTAAGGATCACTACAAGTCCACATTGTGTTATGTTTACCTTGCACTTTAGTTAAGGTAGAAATATTTAACCTGGTTGACAATCCAGCTGTAGACTGTGAATAATTTAAGCTCCCTCAGCTAACAGCAGCCAACAGCAGCCTTAAGTCACAAAGGAATTGTTCCTTCAAAGCTCCCTCAGACTGATATAATTTGATTTAGAGGTTTTCAAGTTCTGCTATTTCTGAACAAACCATTATCTCTCTAGGCCTCTCTGAACACAAGTGAAGATGACTTTGATAGAGGAAAAATATGCCCTTTGGAACATGAAAACATTTCAGTTTTTCCAGAATTTGGCAAGGAGGTTGGCATAGTTTCTTCAAGACAAGTGTAAAGATGAGTGTTAAAAGATAATATCAGACTTTTGACAAACATTAGGATCATCTCAGTTAGCCATGAGAGTTTAAGCAGTTTAACAGCTGGAGTCCTGCAAGCAACATCACCAGTGCAATAACCCTGAAAATAAGTCAGAAACTCTTTTCATCTGAACATTTCACATGAAGTGTTGTGTCAGTAGGTAGGAGATCTTGACAGACCTCTCAGAGGGTCTTTCACTCAACAAGGAGAGCTGGATTGCACTTCTGAAAGAGCCACCCAGATACCACGTGAAGAATTGCTGCAGTACAAAAAGAAAATCCCCACGAATTGCACACCATTAGTTATGACATGCCATCCTTCCCTGGAACCTATTTGTAAAATCCTCAAACAATTGCAATCCATACAAGATGACCCAATTCTTAAGAGATCTTTCCAGAACCACTCATCCTAGCCTTTAAACAATCACCAAACCTCATAGTTTCATAGTTTCTAGGGTTGGAAGGGACCTGAGTAGATCATCTAGTCCGACCCCCTGCCATGGCAGGAAAGAGTACTGGGGTCAAACCTCACCAACCTCATCACCAAAAGCAAACTTTCTACGGCCCAAAGTACACCAAACGGATCCAGTCCACGCTGGGACAAGAAATGTAAAACCTGCCAGCACATCTACGTTCCCACAATAACCACACCCCACAACAGAACCATCGCCATTCCTGGATGTTACACCTGCACCTCCAGAAATGTAATATCTCATCCAGTTCACCAAATGACCCGATGGAAAAAACGTAGGAGAGACCAAACAACAACTGTGCACCAGAACGAACGCACGCTGAAAATCTATCAAAGACAAGAATACCCAACTACCTGTGGGTGCACACTTCTCACAAGACAACCACTCTCTTTCTCCAAGCTCTTGGTTCTAATCCTCAAAGGGAATTTATAAAACACCTTTCATAGATGAGCCTATGAACTTCACTTCATAAATCTACTGGATACAAAAAATCATGGACTAAATATAGACATTGGATTTATGGCACATTATAACCTGCCTGACATCCGATAGTCCCAGGTAACCTGTCTGCATTTTACCAGCTACATTCCATCACCGGGTCAATGTTCCCCCCCACACCTACCTACCTCACACCTATTGTCTTCCATCACCTCTGATCCTCACTGCCTCACATTTGCATTTTCACAGAACTGCATTTTGCATATTGTCTCCAATTCCACCATGGAGAACAAAAAATACCAGCAGACTCTCCCTACGCCTGAAGAAGGGTGTGTGCACCCAAAAGGTTGCAAAGAACAATTTTTCCAACTGGTTAGTTGGTCTAATAAAAGATACCACATTTACCCAAAGAACTGTCTGCCTATCAGATGGTCTGTACTTAATACTAGGCCTGCGCCCCTTGTCACTCATAATTCAGAAATGCCCAGTGAGGTGTTCAGAACAAAAAGGTCAATAGTAACATCATCTACTGGGAGGAGCAGGGAATTTACATGCGACCCTGAGATCTACTGAGACAAGGAGAGTTGCATATGCCTAGCCCAGGCACGGGCAAAATATGGCACGTGGGCCAGATCTGGCGCGGCAGCCCATTCTATCCAGCCTGCAGGGCCTCTAAAAATTTTTTGAAAATTAATTTTTATCTGCCCCATGCTGCCTGTCAAAGATGAAAGGCAGCCAGCAGCAGCAGGACCCAACAGGAGCCTGTGGCTGAGCAGCAAGG